CAAATGTCCACCATGCTTACAAATATATTGTTTGATTCAATTTCTAATAAATTATTTAAATCTCTATATACTATATATGTAATACTCTATGCATACTATTTTGTATCTCCATTAGGCTATATAGTTTGTGATCATTTTTTATAAAGATCTGGGATTGAAATTTTAAATATTGTAATAAAAATTTAGATCAAGAGTTAGACCAACTTTATTATATTCGGGATTTAGGCTTGAATTGTAACAAAGCAACCTGTTTTTATTTAGGATTTAGGTGGCAAGTAAAATTAAAAAAATTAGTTATATTCAAATCCAAATATAGAAACCTTAAATTGCAAATTAGATCATTACTATATAATACTTAACTATATCAAATTTTTTTTAGTTCTTAGCGATACAGTAGTGTAATATACTTTTAAAGGCTTAAAAGCTAAAAAAATATCATAAATTTGTTATAAAATTACTATAGTTAAAAACTAAGTATTAATAAATATTTTAATTTAGTTTATGAATTTAATTTATATAGAGGTTAATATAGAAATGTTATGTTGCTACAAGGTAAAGTTCACTGAAAAAAAAATTAAAGTTTAATATTCTTATAATTAAGAACTTCAGTATTACTTTAATATTTGTACTACTTTAATGTAGTATTTGTTTAAAAATTTTGTAACTTCACTTATAATATGAAAATTTCAATTTGGGACTTGTTTATAAGTGATCTGCATTATATCTTAATATAGAAATTTCTTCTGTTAAGTAACAAATCATCAATTAAAATAATTTAGATAAATTTTAATACTATTGAATTTATATAAATATGTTTAGTTTGTATAAAGCTTATAAAATAAATTATTATATTTAATATATTTAAAAAAATTAATTAACTAAAGAAGTTAAATGATAATATATTTGGAATCTTCAAAATTAATTTAATCTGATAAAAAATATGAATAAAACTATAAATAGAAACAAATTAATAATGTTTAATAAAATTCAATACAACTATAAGTTTTATTAAGCATAATTAAAACTCTCTAACTAAATTAATACAAATAAAATAATTCGTATATAATGGTAAATAAGTATTTAAATTCTTGATTTGTAAACTTAAAACAAAATATCTTTTTTACTTCTATTTTTAAATAAAATAGCTTTAATTTATATTTAGCTACCTAGTTTACAATAATGTTTTGGAGAATGATAAGCAAAGTTTAAACAAAAATTCATTAAAGATATTAAATATGCTTTATTTTAATTAACAAAAATATAAATTTTAAACCAAAATCTTTGATTACATTATTTAATAATGGTTTTTTTAAATAAATTAAATTTTTAATTTTTAGTATTATATTTTTTTAAAAAAAACACATTTTTATCATTATTAAATATATATATTAGATAAACTTTTTTATTCAAAATTTATTTAAATTTTAGCTAATATCCAAATAAATTTTTGCGATTTTGATACATATCCAAATTTTTGCAGATACTATACCTGGGTATTTATATCTCTCAATCTTTGTATGTACCTGGATACTTATATACTATATTGAACAATATATTTACTATATCATGTATAAATTACTATCAGCTCTTAAAACCCATATCCAATAAATATGGTAATTAGTATATCGATATTGTCATAATATATATTACAGTTTCTTTATTACGCTACACCAAATTGCATTTTCTTATTGTAGAAAACAATTAGATATTCTTCTATTTGCCATTAAAACATACTCTTCATTATGTTCTGGTATTAGGCCACATATAGTTAATTCTTTTTTTATAATAGCAATTTGCTGTACAGTAGGAATTATAAGTATCCTACCCCCTCTAACTTTTTAAATAGAAAAGCTACAACTTTAAAATTTTTACAATAAATAGTATTAAATAAATATAAATCAGTAGTAAATTTTTATTAAAAATTAATTTCAATCAACTCTTCCTGACGATCATTTGGACCAAAATTCCTACCAAAGAAAAAACAGAATTTTTGTTGGAGAGTCGTGGCCTAATGTAGCGGTTTGCCTAGAGGTCAAAGGTTTTACTCTTCCAGGACTCCTCTATAAGTTGCGTGTTCGACATACAAGCCAAAAGTGTTAGTATACAAGATAACTAGCTGGAGGTGTGTGCCCTTGGATACAAAATTTTGGTGGAAAGACAATGGTTGGCCCGTCGACGAAGTTATTTAGGCTTTTACTTCCAGAGGAAAAACACAGGGGAAACAACAAGGCTCTGCTTTTCTTCAAGCTGCACTCTTTTACTTGGTCAAGTGGTTCCTCTTCTACTTCTACTTGCCCTCCCATTGGTCTTTCAAAAAATTTCGACAAAAAGTGGGGATTTGGCTTACTCACCTCAAAAGATCGGCATTGTTTACTTCCCAAATCCGGACAGATTAGCGGAATGCAACTACGTGTTTGTTTATGGACAAATATGGCGCTACTTCAAGGGACTCGGTTTGGGAACTCTAATTATGGCAGCAGGTGGCTTGAGACATGGGTCCTTGGATAACGGCAGCACCTGGCTTGAGATAAAGATTAAGACAAATAACAGAGCTATCCGGAGTCAGTGGGAAGATCAGAAAGTAAATTTAATATTAAGGTGAAGCCTTACAGTAGAGATATACAAATGTTGCATTTGTTATATAATTTTTATACTTGCCTGGCATGGGTTATGATAGTGCTTCATAGATTGTTATATTTCTTTCTGTTTTTTCTTTTTTGCAATTTGTGTCTGTTTTTTCTTTCTTTTTTGTTTTTTCTTTTTCTTTTGTTTTCGTACAACCTGTTTTGAAATTTTCACCCTTTTGTCTCGTGCCCTTTGAGAAGAAGGAAGAATTAGAAGGGAAAGTTTAACAGTCATGAATTGGCCATACAACAGCCAGTGAAGTATCAAAGAAGTATCTTTACAGTACCAAATCTATTGAAAGTTTTGGATTCTAAGAGAAACAAACAGTTGTCATAACAGATCGACTTGGGCTTATGCTTGGGTAGTTTTTTATTAGATAGAACCACATTCGTAAAAAATTATTGTATTCATTTATGATAGTTACATGAGGTTCACAGAATAAAAGCATGACTGTTTAAAAAAAAAAAAAAAAGTAGTAAATTTTTATAGCTTTTTAATCACTACAATAAAAGTTAGATGAAAGCTAAATTTTTGGCCAATTTAGATACTAAAAACTAATTAAATTTAATTAAAAATTTATAAAAAATTAGAATTAAATCTAAAAGCTTTAAAAATTAACAGAACTAATCAAGCATTTTTATAGTATTGACAAAAAATTTAAATTAATTTAAGAACTTAAATAGGTGTTGCTACTCCGCGATGTGCTTATACATCGCATTTTAATGATCGACCAATCAAATTTCAAGATTAGGTGTAATGTAGCACAATCAGAATAGATTCAAAACAAACGTTCATTTTGACAAAAATCACTCATAATTCAAAATTTTACATATGAAACTATCTTTTGTACTCTAACAAAAAAAATTTCTTGCGAAATTTTACTATAAAGCTCATTTTACTCTAATCTTAGCCTGTATACTACTCTCACCTCGCCCTAACCCTAACTAACCCTAACTAAACAAAAACATAATTTATTTTAGACATTATATAATCTATATATATGCAATGTATAAGCATATCACTAGTAGCAACGTATAGATTTATTCTTAATTTAATAAGAAAATTATTGAGAAATTAATTTTTAAAGTTTTTGGAAATCAAAGGTGTCGTGTAACTTTGGATTTACTTAGTAAAAACATAATTTTAACATTTTTACTAAAAATTTTAAAGTAACTTTAAAAATTAATTTCTCAACAACTATCTCATTAAATTGACTCAAATTTTTTTTAGTATTATAAAAAGGTTTGAAGTTTAATATAATAATTTTTTTATAATTTTTAAATTTAATTTTATATTTTTACTAATTTTTAATTAAATTTAATTTTTGTAATAAAATTTCAGCTCTTATCTAATTTTTGTTATAGTAATTAAAAAACCACAAAAATTTGTCACTGATCTATATTTATTTAATATTATTTACTGTAAAAATTTTAATTTCTATTTAAAGTTAGAGGGGGTGGGATACTTATGATTCCTACTGTAAATGGCCATTAACATAATACGTCTTGATAGAGCTGTATTATTATAATTATAAAATTTATTCGTTATATTAATAATGGAAGCGCTTAAAAATATTACAAATCGAAAAAATTGTTTTTTCAGTAAACAGTTATCAGAACGCGGCTGTTAATGCTAGCCAGTTAGAATTTACTAGACAACAATTTGACTTATTTTAACCTCCTCTAGATGAAGTAAATTGCAATAATATATATTAATTGAAAAAATTATTATCTTTCAAATCCGGAGTTTCTACGGTGAACATCCGTCGGTGACTTTAGGAAGAAATAGTCATTTTTACCTGGTGAGTTACTAATAAGTTTGGTAACTTACGATAAAATTTATAAATAAATTATAGTAATTTTACAACCCTACTGGTGTAATTACGGTTACCATTCTAAATTATCAGTTTTAATATAGCTATAATATCTGAACAATAAAATGCCTCTCAAAAAAAATCAGAATTTAAAAGACTTTAGCTACATGAAAACTCAAATTAGATGTGAACATGAGTCTATTTATTTAGATTAATAACAAAAAAAAAAATCCGACCGCTCGACCGGTACTTTGAAAAACTGGGTAATACAAAACGAAAATAAACTTTGTGTAGCCTTATCTAATAATCGATCCAATTTAAATTCGATCTTTAAGAGTTTTTGATTAAAAGTCTTAATTTTTTGAATAATTTAAAGTTTTAATATTACATTATTAAATGCACGCATATTTATTTAATGAATCGGTGGTTTTTTGAGTTTGACACTATTTACCGAAATGGGATATGTATTTGGGTTTTGGTCATGAACCCAAATTAAGTAGAAATGTCGATTCCCAAACCAAAATGCCGTAATTTTAAAAAAAAGGGTTTGGGTCGCAACCTACTAGAAACCATGGATCTTAATGATCTTTTTGTCGATTCCTTCCTCCGCGAGGAAGTTTTGGACTTTAATACGTTGGTCTCCTTGAAGCTGAATCACTTGACCGAGTTCTTCATCTTGTACAAGAGTACCATTACAAGCAAATTCCTAATTTAATGAAAATATGACACAAATAAATTGCGGTTCAAATACGTAATAATAGTTAATTTTATAACAAACCTTCTTAAATGCCTTTAGCAATTTCTTTTGATCATATTCAACTGGAAGACCTTGAACAGTAGTCAAAGTCTTTCTACCGTTTCTCTGTTGTATACGAATATCTGCAAAGTAAAAAATATTAAATTCGGAATCAAGGATAAGTTCTTTTAAAATAAAATGGAAATTTCTAAGTTTCTAAAATAGTTTTGACGGGTCTTCATTGTTATATAAACGACACTCATCTAAAGTGATGAGCTTAGAAGTATTGGCAAAAAAGATAGACAAAATGAAAGGATACGAATATATCCCTGAGGTCCAGCGTCGTCTTCACCGGTGTCAGCGAAAGGATCTATGAGATAGATGTGCAAATCAGTAATTTATTGAGTTATTATTATTTTGTAATTTGTAACTTACCATAAACTTGAAGGTTTTGGATCGCGGACATAAAAAGCTACGGTTAATACTTTAATAAAAGAACGAGCTATTAGAGAAAGGCGAGTGTTGAGATTCTATGCTTCGATAAACTTTGTTAAACTAGACTTTTTTTTTTCCTTCTTTAAAAGAATAACCTTGGCGGTTGACTGAGATTAGTAAGATGGATTGGTGAAGGAGTCGACAAATTTATATTAAAAAAAAACGATGTATAGTAGACAATAGGATAAAGATTTCTATTGGGTCAGAACTTTTATATTACGCAATTATTTATCTGTTACAATATTTATCAATCACATCGATCAATTAATCAATGAGTCATAACTCGTAGAACGTTACGTATGTACTACTACATACGTATTTTAAAATTCCTTAATTCAGTTAGCCAATCGAAAATCTTATGGTTTCAAATCTCATGAGGGTGTGGCGGGTGATTCGAGACTTGCTATAAAACGCTAAAATACGCAGTTACGGTGTCACATGATTTTATACAGTACACTTATTAACTATACGTATCATATATAATTTTTGTCTAATCAATGATAATTAATACAAATTGTTAGATTTATATATATCTTATTATATAGTGTGAAGTATTCTAAGTAAAAATGTTCTACCGCGAAAAAATCCCGTAAGACAGATTCCCGAAAGGGGCATAATACCGACAAAGTTAGCCGGCGATTTAATCGGTATTATTTTCTTTCGGGAAAATGGCTTTTGGGTGGGTGGACCCAAAATAAAAAACTTGTGTTATGAAGCTCAATTAATAAATTTTGTATATGGGGCCTCCCACAGCAAAAGAAGGGGATGGGCTAAAAAATTTTTTTTTAAAAAATTCTATATCTGGAAGAATTAGATTGATTAGAATAGAATTATTATAAAATTAAAACATCCGATTTTTTGGCCCATCCCCTCCTTTTGCTGTGGGAGGTCCCATATATGGCCTTATATTTTCTTTTTATAACATTAGAGTTAGTATTTAGGAAAGGCGTAGAACATACTGCTAGCTAGCAGATCCTTGGCTAACGGCCGTGATCTGAAAATTTTGGCCCGCATTACAAAATCATATGGGCGGAAGTTTTCATTTTTGTGATTAGATAAATTGAATAATGGGATTACATAGAATTTGGGCCAATAATATAAATTGCTTACGAGTTACTTATCAGTTACTTATCAGTTTTTATACACTGTTCAGGAGTAAAGTAACCAAAAAACAACCTACATATGGGCGGAATTTGTGATTCGAATTTTAATAATCACAAAATTACATTAAAAACTTTTTTTGCCTATGATTGTTTACTAATTTTCGGCTGGACTTAATTTTTTAGATGTAAGTTATAAAATACAGTATATCATAGTAAAGCAGGCCCGACTTTGATATTAATGCCGGCCAGAATACTGTAAATCTAGCTAGCATTAAGATTATATAACTTCTTTTTTTAAAAAAAAAAATGGTTGAAAACTCACTAGAAAACGGAATTTGTTAAAAGTTCGAAGCATTAAATTGCCAGGTTTAAATTATTGTTTTATAAATTCTCGGTGTTTTTATTTATTTATTTATTGAATTATTAATTTAAATTACTATTTTTTTAAAAAAAATTACTTTATTAAATTATCGATAGAATTTATAATCATATTAGCTAATTTATAGCATTTCTAATATTTATTGATCTACTGGCTTATTTGAAATGATTTAATTACCAAAATATTTATCTCAATGTGACAATTTTTTTTAAAGTAATTTTGCTTTTATTTTTATGAACTACTATATTATAAAAGCTACTATACAATATATATAAAAAGTATAATTGTATTTTAAAGTTTTAGTATAATAAAAACTCGCCAAGCAAAATTTAAAAATTGCTTCAAATTTTGTATTATATAAAGGATACCCTCTTGATTATTTGACAAATTGTTGTATTAGAGTCTTTTTTTTCTCTTCTAATTTTTTTTTTTTTCTCAAAAAGTACAAGACAAAAGGAAAAAAATTTTAATAAAAGAGTTTACAAAACTAATCAGAAAAAAAAACAAAAAACAAAAAAAAAAACACTAATTTTGAAAAAAAAACATAAAAGAAATCTAAAATCCTAAAAGCACTATTATAATCTATATATAGCTAATAAAATTATATAACAAATGCAATATTTGAATATCTCTAGTATAAAGCTTTATCTTAGTATTAAATTTACTTTCTGATCTTATATCTAACTTTGAATAATTTTGTTAATACTCATTCTAATTCATTTATATCTTGAACTAGATGTTACTGCCATTCGAAAACTTGTATTTCAAACTACCTGTTACTGTAATTAGAGTTTTTAGACTTAGTTCTGTAAAGTAGTGTTACATCTATTTGCAAACAAATATGTAGTTGTAACCTACTAGTCTATCCAAATTTAAAAAATAAACAATAACAATCTTTTGGAGTAAGTAAGCCAAATCTTTACTTTTTATTAAAAATTTTGGAAAAAAAGCAGAAAAGTAATAAAAAATAAGATAAAAACTACTTGTTTAAATTAAAGGAGTGTAGTTTAAAAGAAGCTTGTTCTTTGTTGCTTTTCACTATTTTTATAGATATTTTTATTAACAGAGAATTCTGGTTTTCACTAAAATTTATATATAAAAGCACTATTTTCTGCTAGTTATCTTGTATAAAAATATTTTTGGCTTGTATATTGAATATATAAAAGAGTTTCTAGAGAAAAAACTAGTTAACTTTGTATTATCCTACTATATCACTTTTTAGATACAAGCAATGCTTTAGCAAAAAAATATTGCTTTTTTTTGGTAAAAGAATTTAGTTTAAGTAATTGTTAAAAAGAGTTTAATATAATAATTCTAATGAGTACAAAATTGTTAAAATCCAATTACAAAATTTTAAGAATATTCAAATTTTGTATATATTTTTTAGGATTACTATGAAAATACATTTAATTAATGATCTGTAAATCATCTAAAGAAAATGATTTGCTATATAAATATAACACAGTTTAATAATAAGAAAATCTAATCTGAAAATGTGCAAAATTTTATATATATAGTATATATGTATTTATTTATTTGCATAATTCTCTATATAAACAATGATTGTCATTTTTTTTAACTTTATTTACAAATTTGAAATTACAACAAATATATGATAAACTTTAAAGAATTTTATTTTTTATTGCACCCGCAATGTATTGCACCCTAGCTATATCTCAAAATTTTATTAGGGTAACCCTGTCGTGTAACTAACAAAAAATGATTGTTATACAATTTTACCTAACTCTAACCCTAAACCCTAACCCTAACCCTTAAACTCTAACCCTAACTAATCGTAACTTTACCTAAAATTTGCTATATCT